GTTGAACCTTATCGATCATGTTACGTTCGGACTTAGTGAGCGGGTACGCAGCAGGCAATCCGTACTCGAGAACTGGGCGCACATGCGAAACAAACAGTAATCTGAAGAGTGCTGGAGTCAGGCGTGAAAAGGCTCCCCGTATAGCGTGAAGTATTCTGTAGGCGGATGCGACCCTCTTCCGGGTGTCCTCGATTGAGTTGAGATCAGGAGATACAATCATCTCGAGATCCCTCTCTTGGTTGACAGTTCTGAGTAAGCAACTCCCAATAGACAATGCAGGAATTTCACAGCCGGTCTTGGAAGATCTGTTAAGGTATGAACATAGTTTCTTTGGCCTAGAAAGGGATGGTTCAGCCGGCCTATGCTCGTATCGTTGTCTATTTTTACGTTTCTGCAGGGAGCAGAATTTCCTGACGGCGTTGTATTTGGAGTAGTCTGAGTATAAGCGGGAAAATTGAATTTGTCCCATAGTTTCCGTCGTTGTTTCATGTTGGCCCTGGGTTCTCGGCCGATCCAGAGGGTGGGGTGGAATGGGATGATCTCCCCAATGAGTAGCTTCAACTTGTAGAACAGATCGTTCCAAGCAGCATCGAGTTCCAAGTGTTGTAGAACATTCCAGTCCGGCGTACTCGCTGCAGCCTTTAACTTGGATGCGTCGGTCTGCCAGAAGTTTCGACCGTGTGCGCTTCGGGGTCGAATAGCTAGACGTTTAGTCCATAAGAAGGAGATCGTACAATGGTCGCTTTTACCAATTGGCTGTAGAAGGGCCAATTCCGAGACATCAGACATAGCCGGAGTGAACACAAGTTCAAGAGTATGCAGAGTCTGGCCGGGAAGAAGCCGAGTGGGCGATGATATATGCTGGGAGAGATTCGTTTTGAGGACAGTTTCAAGGAGGCTAGCATCAAAGGGCTCGGGTGGAAGGCGGCAGTGTACTAGGTCCCAATTAACATTCGGGGCATTAAAGTCACCCACAGTAAGACAATCTCTGCGGTTTCATGCGATTTGATGAACTCTAACACTGAGGCGCCATATCCCTACGAAGCTTCTTAGACAACGCCAACCATTAGAGATTTGTAGCCATTATTGATCCTGCGACAGAGCAGCTCTGCACCACCATCGGCGTCGCTGACAGCTTCTACGAGATGAACTTTAAGCTCCTCTCTCCAGTAGAGAATTACGCCGCCACCAGCCCTTGTTCCAGATTGGTCAGCACGGAAAGTTGGTATCATGAGATATAGATTTTGAACTCGAAGATATCTGTAGTGAACCAAGACTCAGTGAAGGCCAACAGGTCAGGAAGCACCTTTGAATTAAGGGCGTGTACCTCCTCCACTTTGTTTCTGAGGCTGCGCACTTTTGCAACCATCACCTGTAGTCCATTCTTTGTCTTTGTTTTAAGTCCTGGGAAGGACGAACAGTTTCTTCCAGCGGGACCTTTGTACTTTCTGCACTACCTGGAAATCCACTATATGCAAGTTGGTCTCGCCATTTGCTCTACGGGTTCCTAGTTCAGTAACTGCGTTCATCATTTTGGTTCGATCTCCTGGGGAGAGATCTCTAAGAACATCAAATTTTTCTCCCTTGAGACATGAGCTCCGCTCGAGGATACGGCGGCACACTTCGTCATCCTAACAGACAACTTTGAGAGGACGGGAGTTGATGGGGTCTTCTCGCTTTCTCCCAAGGCGAAATGCAGAGACAAAGTTAATCCCTTTTCCCCACTATCGAACAGAAGAGAGACCATGTGCTTTAGAATGCTTAATCGTTCTGTATTCTTTCTGCTGGTGTCCCCACTAGACTCGGGAGCATTTTCGATTATTAGACACCACTCACGGGAGGTACTCTTGTTTCCATCAGGTATAGGTGGTTTCGCTGTGTTGGGGTTAGCCTTGATCAAATCTTCCAGCTGCGTCATTTTGTCCAAAACCAATTGTAGCTGGGATGAAGTAGGCTTCGGCGCTGTTAGCAGTTCCCCATAGCTTTGGGCGAGATGTCAGGTGGTTGGTAGTCACGTGCAGCTTAGAACATTCCAGAACCTCTAATCGACGTTAATAATCAATTAATCGCTCAAATAGTGGGTTTTCCAAGCAATTCTTACTTGCTCCCGGACTCCGTGTCAATACTTTTCAAGCCGTCTGACGTTTGTGCGAAGGAGAAAATTCCCGCACTCACTACTTGTCAGTCGAGGGTGCTGGCTATCTCGGCTCCCACCGATTAGGCGCCTTCTGACGTTTTGTTTGACTTTTCTCAAAGCGTCACGTGCCCACTGCTGGCCCTTTATCAAGAAGAAAAAGCAGGCCAAATCTGGCCTTAAGCCTTCTGGCTTGCCCGAAGACTGAAAAAAGTAAAACGCCAACAAAGCAGCGAAAAACTTACGCTGCCGCTGCTGCATCATTTGAGGTGATAAGGACTGTTCCATCACCAGTGGTGAAATCACCTGCTCCAAAAATCGAATCAAAGACCTGTGGGGTAAATGCACCCCGTCATGGTGATTCTTTAATGGATAGTAGCGTTATATTCCGTAACGCGACTGCATCCACCGCTGTCCTTCCTGCTGAACGCATGTTGGACGACCTCCAGTGGTTTGAAATGTGCGTAACAAGGCTCCTTCCGCCTCGTTTTCCAGGCGTCACTGTGAGGTAGTTGATTAGACTGGGGAAGATCCCAGTTAGCGCACCAAACACTAGACCTCGACTCTACCCCGGAGGCACGCAACGCTTTCATGCAGTTTGCTTTTAGGTTGAAAGGTACTAATAGTAATCTTCAGCCGGACATTTCGCTAGCAGATAGGCTGAAGCTGAAGGAGGTCATCAAAGACCTCAAAGCATGCTAGCGACCGGCTTCAGCTTATCCTGTCCGCACGAGTGACCAAAATGTTTCCGCTGTGTGGCCGTTGGAGTTTCATGAGTGAGCAATGTTTGTGCCCCTGGCTGTCCGAACTGGACACATTTTATACGACAATTGGCCACCCAGAATGTTTTTCCCAACTATCCTTGTCAGATTCCGTGAATGCACTTTCCATAGTTGCAAATACCATCAACATGAAACCGACTTCGATTCCAGAATTGTAACTACATAGTACTATAGCCATTAAACTAAACCGAAAATGTCTTCGAGTGACTAAAGGTCGTTCAAAAATTGTCCAATTGGGGCAGCCGGGGGCACATAAATTGGTCACTCAGGGAGCTCCAGTGGTCACTCACGCTGACTGAAATTCCGATTTTCTTCAAAAGTAGCCTTTTAGACAAAGAAAGTAGGTGCTTAAGCTGTACAATCTTATTTACCTCCATATCTGAACAGATCACGCCTGTTGTGATGCCCCCAGAAATTTGTTGTGTTTGCCGCTGACTGCACGGCTAACCTGCTGCTGACTCGCAGCTGACCGTCCCTCGAAATGTTCTATGGGTTCCCCGCTAAGTGTACGGATAACCTGCTTGAATTGGCTGTACTGTACCCAACCAGTTCATCCCGCAATGGAATGAGAACGCCAGAGACCAGCCGGACCGAGGGATTCTATTGTATGAGGGGATGGCGCAATAAATAGGTCGTGGGCAACTACTAACGCAACAATATTAGAGATGCTACTTAATATTAATTAACACAACTTAAATAGTTAAAGTTAAATTGTTTATTCTCGATAGCTTCGAGGAACGCCTAATCAGGCGAGACCAACTTTTTGCAGACAATGTTTCGCAGTAGGCACATTGTGTTGCATGCATAAATGGGGAAAGTACATGGGAGGAAAACATCAATGGTGAAGTGGCAACTGTTTACGTTTATGTGGAGGTAGCGTAGTGTAAAAATTTCTTGGCTATGACTTTATTATGGTCGGTAATTGTATAAAATATGGCATGTTAACCAGTAACATACTGGATTTGTGTGTCTGTATATATGTACGTGTATGTGTTAGTGGGCATTGTGAGTGAAGTGTGACTGAATTCGTGAGTTTGTTTGCTGTGTTCGTCATCGTATGAAGGGGTAAATGGAACTCTGAATTGGATAACGTTTGTGAGGTGGGGATCCTCCGGAAGGGGAAAAGACAGTGACTTTATTTAGTGGCGAGTCACGTCCGCCACGTCACAGTGTTGTTAAACGGACCTTTATGGCTTTTTACAAGGAGAACGCTTGCCAGGCGAAAACCCACCACGTCCTGGAACACTGCCGCCAAAATATTCGTTGGAACGGGATTAACCCAAACCACCCAACTGGCACCACGTGGAGGTTATTCGGCTAGCCGGCCATGGTCCAACTTGCCGCTGATCCCGCATGGATTCTCGTTTTGATCGCTACTCGAGTTCGATCTCTAGTTGTAGATCGATCCACTTTTTGCGCCACTGCTCGGCTTAATCGCTGACTGTAGGCTTTCTCTCATATTTCATATCGACATTTTGCGTCTACGTATGACCAAAAACGCTCAAATGGGACGGTTGGCCGTCCATCTGTGCGGACAGGGTAACGTTTATTCATGATGATGGTGTAATCTTACCAAATATTTTGTTAACTTTCATGATGCATCATTAACGATTTCGTCCTCTCAGTTATCGCTAGTGGCCGTTAGACTACGGTTGAGTTACGGTGTTTTGTGCACCTAAACGTCCAAGTGAGACATTTGGGAAGAATTTCGGTCGCTTGAAAGGATTTTCGATATTACCTAACGGCTTCATTACTGCGTACTCGCGACTTGCGATTCACTTCCCGCTTTGTGTGAACGGTGTTTACAACTAAGAAACTTCATTCATTGTCTTTATTAGGCTACACTGGAACAGCATTTTCAGAGTGACGAAAATTTGTCTCAAATGTGTCTCACTGGGGCGGTCGGAAGCACAAGACACGGTCACTCAGAGCGCTCCAACTGACATTTTTGGTCACTCGTGTTATGCGGGTTGCTCTCGATATCTCATAAGGAAGCCAGTATTCATAGCTGTTTGAATCGTTTTTTATATTGCTTACCTGTAATGATACTTTTTTTCTACTAACCATGTTCATCCTCCCGTCTAGATGGTCCCGGTGACCGATACTTTCCTGATTAATATCACGTTCAGCGCCCAGGAAATCCTGTACACGATACTTTTTTGCTTATTTATCTTCTGCACTATATATCCTCCTTTGGGATTTATCGCTGCGGGCCTCACTGTTGAAAATGTTTTTGGAACTTTTCTTGGAAGCGAAAATATGTTTTTCTTTGAATACCACATTCGTCGAACATCACTGTTGCGCGTGATTTGGTCTTCCTTCATTCTACGTGAGCTAAACCTTCGTTTTACCGAATCAGACGTCTTTTCTCAGCTTTTTCACAGAATTTTCAACTTTGCCGATGATTTGCCCTTGTTGGCCATTGAAAGGCATGGTGATTCTACTGAACTCCGCCTTGAGACTGTCCAAACTTTCTTGTTCCTCAAGTGATACCGTTTTGGCCTTCCTAGCCAAGTTCGAGCCGGGGCAGAATTACGATTGCTCCCAATTGCTTCGTTTTAAATTACCATTACATTGGAACCCCATGCACAATCTGACAGAGATCAAAGAGAGGGTAGTGCAAAAGCGGCCCTGTCTCCCATTCAAGGATCGCTATTGCTGTTATTGCGATAATGCAACTCGTGGCAGCTGGATGTGCGATCTTCCGGTCCTAAGATTTTAGGTTATTAACGGAGTTCATTAGCGGAACATCCAAAAGTCCCAGATACTACGGTATGATCTTTTATCGCAACCTGGTAATCGGATTCGCCATTTGAAGACATAGAGACTAGCCGGTATGTCATTAGCAGCTGGTAATAACGTATTCAGCTATCGTCAACTCTGTTAACTGTACGCTTACTCATCTCTGGTGCTTCGAAGCTTTTAGCGAACCATCTAATTTAACAGCGTACATGCAATTACTAATTGAAATACAGTCGATCGAAGCAGCTTCACCCCTAGAGCTCAGATCGATACTCACATCGTCTTGACCGTCATTTGAAATTGCATTATCTCCAAACAGACGCAATTATCACATGAAAGGCGTCGCAGGGTGAGAAAAGAGTTTATCCTTGCAGTCGGGTTTCTAATAAGCGATTCGATATTTCATATGTTGACAATTGCTGCCTGTTGACAGATTTGCGGCAGTGTACAGAATTCGAGGCCTGTCGACCTTACCGTGGATTGAGGGCTCCACCTAGATGATGAACTACCGTTTTCGCTTGGTTGAACGTCATCACAATTACGCATTAGCTGAAATGAAAATGTCATCCCACAATCTTCGTCTCCTGATATTTTTATTTGGAATTATAAGGAGAAATTAATGTTTCAAATTTCACATTAGCTGAAGTTGAGAAACACACTTCAGCTAGCTGTACTGCAATACGAAAGATATGATATATGAGGAAGCTAGAAACTAAACATTACCAATTCAAGAACAACTAATCGTAATATAGTGCTGTGTACTATTATTCATGCAGTGTTAGCTCGTTGTTGAAAGTAGAAGCTAAGCGGGAATGGGAGGGACAAAGAAATTCACAACACGAACACCACTGAGGTTTACTGTTCGATATGTCAACTAGTATATCGAACAAGACGTGTTCATCGACCTTGGTACTCTAGCTGAGCAATCGGTAGACACCAACCGACTCGAAGATCGTAGTAAGGGACTTCATTCCTGTTGAAAAAGTCATCGTTTGGCCTCCGTTCCTGTTCTTCCATCTACATCACGATGTGCAAACAGCGCACGATGCGGGAGCCAGGATCCTGGAATGCGCAACACGTGGTTCAATGAACACGGATTATTCCAGGAATGAAAGAAGGCAAAGGCCGATAAGGAGGCTTTACTCGATTAATAATTCGGATGTATGTGCTGTAAAAATAGCGATATGCATTAGAGTGGCAAATGTGTTAATGCAAGTAATATGACAAAATTAACGAGACATAACACTCCCTCACACTGTGAAATCATTGCTGAGTAGTTGCTAATGTTTGTAACAATAGTTGTGGCATGAAGCTGTCAGTGTTAGGATGGGAAATTGGATAAGTGTAACAGCCGGAATGCGAATGCAGCAACCGTTTTAAAAACTCGACGTATGATAAATGGAGAGCGAGAAAAGAGGATCAAGCTTCACTATTTCTTAGATCGTACGGTCAGCTTCGTTGTTGCTGCCGTATCATAGTAGTCTCTGGTCTAACAGTCGTACCGTTAGGAGATGGACCGGTGCATTCAGCACGTGGGGCATTAGAGGAGCATCGCTGCAATCGGGAATTCCGTCAGCAGCAGGGGCCAAGTGGCGAGTAGAAAGTCTCCACTCTGCCATCGGGAACTCGGACAAGAGCAGTATCCGGGTTACAATCCGGTAGCTCGACTTCGACTGATAGTTCGTATTTCGATTGACGTGAAGCGCAATTCATGAGTTCCCGATCAGGTGCGGATAGCCACGTTGCAAGGGACGTGCCAGTAGTTGACTTGTGATTGAATCCAAATAAGCGCTCGTGTGGAGTTTCGTTTCTAGCCGTACATAGCAACGATCTGATAGAGTGAAGAGCATCTAAGAAGACCAACCCCCACTGTCCAATATGCAGATTTTCAGAAGATAGTGAGAGGGTAATAGCGCGTCACAAACTATTATTGAGACACTCCACCTTTCCATTGTCTTATGGATTATAAGTGGTAGTCCTACAGGTGAATATTACTTTATCGTGCAGAAGCTTTCTTAATTCTTCGGACGCAAAGAAAGGACCGCGGTCAGAATGTACATAAGACGGCATTCCGAATAAAACAAACAGCTGTGTGAGGCATCCGATCACCGTTGCAGAAGCCATATCGGAGCAGGCAAATGGAAAGGGAAACCGAGAGTACTCGTCAATCACAGTCCAGAGGTATCTGTTTCTTGACGTCGATGGAAGTGGTCCCTTGCAATCAATGCTTAACCGTCCAAACGGTTGTGTATCTTTACTGAGTCAGCCAACAGTAGGTCTATAGAATCTAGGTTTGATTTCAGCACAACTTTTGCATTGTGAGACCATCGTCCTGACATCGTCCAAGGAAAAGGGGAGGTTACGAGAACGGATAAAATGCATCATGCGAGAGACACGCGGTTGCCACAATGACTTGCAAAGTTCGATAAATTCCCTATCACTCAGAGACGCTGAACAACGAATTCTGGGAAGCGTGTGAGCTGCTTTATTTCTGCTCCTCGGTCTATACATTATATCGGACCGATAATTTGGTACTTCCCAACACCACCGTTTTTATTTTGTCATTCTTCATTTTTCCCTTATTATTGTCACCGTGCATGAAGGTCACTATCGTAAATGGATTGCCAAGGAGGAAATGACGCCATTTTCGCACTGCTTCGACGATAGCGTAGATCACTCTTTCGACGGCGGAGTGGTGTTTTTTGCTGTGAGATAGCGTTCAGGAGAAGAATGCTACTGGTCTGCCATTTTATTTCAAAGTAGCGGGGATTGCAACGTCAGATGCATCCGTTACGACTACCTGTGGTACACCGAGTGCAATAGTCACAACTGTAAAGCGTTTCCATTCTTTTTTGAGTTGTTCGAAATAGTTTATCATGGATTCAGGCAGCTGGGAAGTTTCGTTGTGAATCACTGGGTTGCTTTTATCGGAACATTTCGGAATCCAATCCGAATAATAGACAAACATTCCCACTAAGCGCTGTTGTGATTTGAAAACACTAACTTGCATCTACTCGATCAGAGGTCGAATTCTCGTCGGGCCAGGTTTGATAACGCCCTTGGATATTTCACAGCCGAGTAGTGTGATTTTCTTAGCGGAAAAATTGCTTTTCGCGTCATTAAAGAAATTACCGCAATTTTTGGCTGCCGTCAGGATGTGTTTGAGATTGGCGTCATGTTCCTCCTTGCTTTTACCATGCACCATAGTGTTGTCTACATATACAAAGGTATCTTTAACTCCTTCCAGTTTCAAAACGCTGTCCATGGCTCTTTAAAAGCACACGACGCCGTTGGTAACTCCGGAATGAATGCGGCAAAATTCATAGTTTTCCCATGGCTTCAAACGCAGCGCATTTTCCTTCTTCGTCGAAAGGGCGATTTTATCTATGAGCTCATCGATCCTTAGAAGCGGGTAGGCATCAAGATAGTAAATCGATTTATAGTCTGGCTATAATCCACAATCATACGCTTCTTATATCCGTTTGTGGTTACTAACACTTGCACTCGCCACGGCAGCCTCAATGACTGTATAATGCCATCTATCAGAAGTCTAATGCTTTCGAGTTATATGAAGTTTCCACGGTTTCACTATAGCGTTTGAATCTGGAAACAATCGACTGGCGACTCTGAGCAAGGTGCTCAAACAGTGGGGACGGTTCAACACGAGCTGCCATTAAGTCACAAACAGTGAATGGAGGTCTTGATCCATGAAATGATATCTCAATTTTACGCTGATGCTTAAGGAAGTTTTGACCAAGTAATACATCAGAGCACAGATTGGATAAAATAAATAGTTTCACATTATACTAACAGGGGTCTTTGTGTCGAATGGTTCAACTAATATGTCCTTGGATGAAACTAGAATGTGTGGTGGAGGCCCTAACAATATGTTCACTTGGAGTTTCGATGGGAAATTTGTTAAGCTTCACAACCGAAGCGAATGTAGCTTTCTAGACCTCCCAGTATCGACAGGGGATTTAAGCGGTATATCATTCACAAATATTTTAGTAGCGGCACTGTAAAGACTGATCGGCGCAGCAGCAGATGTCACAGCAAATAAAACTGACATAGTAACGTTGGAGCCGTGATTTGTGATTGACCTAGATTTGCAAACCTTCTGGAAATGGCTTTTTCGCACACATGTCGTATCTCTGGCGGGACACCTTGATCTAGGATGCCTAGTGTAGCCGCAAATGGCGCACATTGACTGAGAGGGCGCGGAGAGAGGTTCTGTTTAAAAAGATAGATGTGGCTCAGATAATGGAATTTTAGTTTTCATTTTAAAGTTACAAGTCGTTATATGAAAGGAGGTAGCTTGTTTTTGGGCCAAGTCTAGCGATCTAGCCATCTGGAAAGCGGACTGAAGATCGGGCAATTTGTGTTCCAATAATCTCTGTCTGATGAGGTTAGATTGTAGACCGCTGATAAAACCACCTCTGAAAGCTTGATTCTTGTGTTCGTCGGCAGACTGGTTGAAGGTTACAGTCACTAACAACAGCATTTGATTTCTGCATTAATTTGTCTAACGATTCGCAGTTTTCTTGTCTGGTACTAGCTAAGATGTAACTGCAAAAATTTCGTGTTTGAGTTTTAGTTAGATGTTCTGTGGCGTCCTGACGGCATCCTCATAAGAGGAGTACTAAACTACCACCTCAAAAATGGCAGATGAAATCTAATTCATTGATTTTTTGAGCTTGTCCGGCTTCATGGATTCAATCGATTCTAAGAAATTGTTGCAAGTATAGATCCAACGGGGCCAGCATCAGAAGATTGATGGTCCACATCAAAGTAATCTGATTGTAAGATTCGATCCGTGAGATTCTAAATATTATTCCAGTAATTTGTAATGAACACGGTTTATTTCAGGGATGAAGGAGGAAGGTAAAATCCGAAAATGAGGTTTTACTCGCTTAATAATTAGGACGTACAAGCTGTGAAAACAGAAATGAGTTAGAACGGTAAATGTATCAATGCATAGAATACAACAATTAAGAATACCTAACTCGTGGCTTGACTGTCTGTGTCTCGGTACTACAAGACATTCTCACTGGCATCCACCTTGCCGACACATATTATGTGGCACGGTTGAGTATATGCGGCGGTCAAAGTACCGAATAATCATGTGAGGCGTTTATTATCATATGACGTGGTCAGGCTGCTATCTAGTTGTCTATGCTTTGTTAGAGCGATCAGGGTTCCCAACCAAAATTTTTTGTTCAAAAATGCGGCTGCAAGGTTGTGGGTGTTTGACAAAGGGCTACAGGGAGTCCGTTTTAAGGAGTATGGAGCAATTGCAGTTCCAACTAATATTGAAGCATCTGGAGAATAAATTCTTTGGATTTCTAACCACATATCATTCTGAAATGAGGGCGCCTGCCGATGAAAAACAAAAGACAACACAGCTCATTGAGCCATTGTGGCGCGCAACCCATCGCAACAATTTGTTTCCGTCTCTTCGCGGCTGTTGTGGCCACCGTTCTCATGTGGTGTTGTTTCACGCATCTGGCTCCAACTGTTGTGCGATATGCTACGTGGATCAGTGCACGCGACCGGTGGCTACCTTACACCAGTGGGGGGGGGCATCTGGCTGAGTGAAGAGAAATCAAGACTGTTAATTGCAACTTAATCTCGTTCTATCTATGATCTCATCAAGTTAACGAGTTTAACCGCACGCCATCGGCAAGCAGGATTCCGCAGAGTGCTTCGCGGTCAACTGAGTCAAAGGCAGCTCGAAAATCAACGAATCACACAAACGTGGGCTGCTGGAACTGGTAGCGGTGTTTGAGTACTCGACGTAGAGTGAAGATTTTGTCAGTGCAGCCTCTGCCTGGATGAAAGCCACCTTGCTTGTGGCGAGTTCGCAGATTCCTCTCATTTGGAAAGCGGGAAAGCAAGATTCGTGCGAAGGTTTTGGCAACCACATCGATGAGGCTAATTCCGCGATAATTACTACACAGTTCGATCACCTTTCTTGAGAAATGGCAGTAGTACTGAGGTACTCCACGAGGAAGGACAGATTTCGGTCTTCCGTATCGAGCAGAAGAGCTCGTGCAAATAGTCAAGGAGAGCTGGGAGAAAAGATTTCCGCTGGAATAATGTCCGCTCCCAGGGCTTTCTTCGGCTTCAGGTGACGAACAATGTCTGCAGTTTCTGTGGGGGTGGTGGTGAGCAATCCACGTCATATCCTGGCTGGTTTAAGGCTGAAATGGGTTCGATGGTATGTAATGGGCGGTTTAGGAGGTTGCTAAAATACTCCACCCATATGGAAAGTTTTCCTTACGTATCGGGGATGATTTGGCCTTCCGAATTGCACAATATCGGCTGTGGTGAATGGCGTTTGCCGAAAGCTAAACTGACGAGACGAAAGAGATGACCTAAATTGCCAGAATTAGATGCAGCTTCCATGTTGCCTGCGATATCAGACCAGTAGCGGTTGTGATTATTTCTTGTTGAGCGGGTTTCCTCACGTCTCAAGCGACGATAGTCTGAGGAATTCGTAAGACGTGCTTCTCTCACTTTAGCGGACTTGCGAATATTATCTTAGTGATCCAATCCTTCACATGCTTAGAGATAGAGCCCAGGGTAGCTAAGGCGGCGCGTTGAACTGACGACTTTTGCTCAGACCAACGAGCGACTACAGATTCGTCATCTGCCATTGTGAGGCATGGTGCACCTTCAGAAATTTCTGCTTCTATTGCTGCCTCAAGGGATCGGCAGCAGTCAATATTTTCCAGTGGGGCAGTGTTGATACGCTTTGGTGGAAGGATCTTTCGGCGCTTTGTCAAGCGGAGTCTGAATTTGGCGCGCAGGAGTACGTGGTCCGAACCCCTTTATTGCCTGTTTCAGCCCCTCTGTGCGCTCGACAGTCATCGATGGAGGACATCCACCTAGATCGGATTAAGATGTAATCTATCTGGCTTACTGTACGACCATCGTTGGAGTACCACATCAGTAGATGCTTCCTGGGATGCTGGCAGCGAGTATTGGTTACGCACAACTGGTTGAGGTCAGCAAAACTGAGCAAGCGGTCTCCATTATCATAACGCTCTCCAAGGGCTTATCTCCCGAGTATGTGACGGGTCTGATCGTTCCTCGGACCGGTTCGTGCATTCGTCCCCAGCAATAATGAGGATGTCGCGTTTTGGAAATGGTCCATTACCGTCAGTAGAATATCGTAAAATTCGTCTTTATCACTTTCCGTTGAGGATAGTCTTAGTGCGTAGACATAGTTTATGGTCAGATTCATTGGGTGACCTTTGAAGCGTGCAACCGCTATTCTAGCTGTTACTGGCCTCCATGAAAGTAGAGCATAGTGTGCCTGGCAACTGAAAGCCATGGCGACCCCTTGATTGCCAGAATTATCTTCCGGCCCACTGTGGTAAGGCCAATATGTGGTGTCTACACCAGGGACTTTGATTTGTCGATAGCCATAGCCAGGTATTCGAGATTCTGATAGGCATGCTATAGCATGCTGGTATTCATGTAGTCTACTCATCTTCAACGCTTGGCTGCCGGCATCCAACTGGGTTCTGACATTCCAGCATCCAATGAATAGTGGCTTCCGGGGATTGAGGGACTCAGATAACTTGTCACTCTGGCCACTGAGTTAGCGCAGGGCGCGTTCTGACAACTGGGCGGAAGAGATCGACTCTTGATCCAACGGCCAGAACTTAAGACAATTCCCCAGATCCCTGCTGCCTTGCAGGTAGCACTTGGCTATCCAAAGACTAGAGGTGAACCCTCGAACAAAACCTGGATGAGGTTGGGGTCCTCATACGTACCCATAATCCCCACGAAACTTCATGACATGTCAGTTACTCGCGATTCTTCTCATGCTACGGCGTTCTCGGTAGGTGACGCTCTTTGCACATGTTAATATGGTGAGGAGCAGAATTCACTGCTATTTGTGGTGTGCGTTTTTTTTGCCCTCTTCTCAGTTAGTTCAACCTCCAACCATATTCTCATTCTTAATGTATATTATTTTGGTTTCGAAGTTGCTTTCTACTGCCACTACACCCGTCGTCTGGTTTCGTCCTTGTTTTGGTTCACTAGCTAGAGATAACTGGAGCTGGGAGTGGTCTGCGGCTGACGCCTTTATTTCTGGGTCACTGAGATTCATGTGCTCGACTGTATTTAGTGTTTTATTTTGTGTTCCTACACGATCGTCAAATTACTTCTTATTGCGACACGATCACTGTACTATATGTTACTACTTAACGTGTACAATGGATGATGGATGTTCGGTGATGGTTGTTCAGCAATGCATGGTGGCCAACACAGCGATCCATCGTCATTGACAATTAGTCATTCTAACTATTCGGGGCATGGTGCTTACCCCATTCCCCTCCCTTCACTGCCAATTGCGGTGTGTGACAGGGTTGCCCTATGTCCCCATTCCTCTTCAACTTCCCAATCGAGGACGTCCTGTCGTGAACTGTTTTTAAAATTTTGGCCTAAAGCTTCTCCGAGTGAGTGCGCGACCGACTTAGATTATGCTAATGATATCGCCTTTCTTGGTGACCATCCACAGGGTATGTAACTCAGTCCGAATTGTTTGGCGGTTGAAGCATCTAAATATAGTATGATCTTCGCGCCATCGAAGGATAAATTGTTGTTCCAAGATTGGCTCACACCTGCTCCCGTGCTCACCCTTGAAGGTACACAACTTATACAGGTAGATAGTTTCGTCTACCTTGGGAGCTGTGTCTCTGATGGCGGCGCTATTAGCAAGGAAATTTCTGTTTGCATCGCTAAAGCCCGATCAGCATTTGTCAATCTGAGTAACTTGTGGCGTTGTCATGATTTTTCATTCTCGATAAAGGGCCGTTTTTACAATGCCTCTGTTCGTTCAGTGTTGTTCTAAGGGAACTAGTCCTGGTCAGTTCGCGTCGAGGACATACGTCTTCTTTCTGCCTTCAACGGCGGTTGTGTAAGGAGGATCGCTCGTGTGTGGTTGGAACATCGGGTTCACAGTGACGACTTTGCGTCTTGGGGAAGGTGAGTATTCCCTTCTAAAAGCTAGTTTTGCTGCGTCATTTGATTTGGCTTGGTCACGTCCTACGCATTTCACCTGAGCGTTTACCGCGCCGCTCTCGTCAAAGACCAGACTGGAGGCGACCGCGAGGAGGTCAGCCTTCCACTAGGTGACAGCACAAGAAATCGCTGACTTCGCGTCTAGCCATCGTTGGACCCGTACGTCTTCCAGGATGGGACCGACGGATGAGGAGTGCCAGTAGCTTAACAGGCTTAAAGACATGGCCCGCAACCGGAATCAGGGAAAGAATTGTGTTGACTTATCTGTTTAATACTTCAAACACTGAAAATAATAAAAAATTAGCAGACATCGGCGTGTGAAAAACACTAAAAACGTTTCGTTCTATATTTTATCAACATATACTTTGGTTCCCATGGTTTCCTTGATGGCTCCAAGTCCATTTCTTGGACTGTTTACTGTGTTCCCCAATACAGTTCTTTAGTTCTTCTGGAGGAAGGACTTTATTAATTTCATCGTGGTTGTTTCATGCTTAGCCGAAGAGCAAGAGCGTCATCCATTTCGTTCAGTCTTTGACTATCTTTTTCTTATTCAAATTGTGCTCTGTTCATTCTATTTTCGAGCATGTTGCTCAGATTACGGGTCGCTCGCATTTCCCTCATATTTTCATTTCCCTTTCGTGTAGTTTATTACTTCGTCATGCGGTGCCTGTCGGAAACTGTCGTGCAGACCAGCCCCAATATTCACAGACCATTTACTCTATGGGACCTCGTACTTTGGCTTGGTATTTTATCCATCACCACCATTGGCCTTCACACCTACTACACTTGGTACGCCTACGGTACCTGGTCAGGTCATCCCACTGTTCGATCTTTGAAGTCCATGGTTAGGGATTCTGCTGGACCTAGTTTCCATCATTCTTCCCAAGAGCGGTAGGTGGCCTACTTCTCGCCCAACTTGTTCCTCTATTGCGCCATTCTGTGCGTTCACACGTTTATTCCCGTTTACATTTTACATCCTGTCATACGGGGTTACCAACGATTTTTCACGTTGCGCTAGCCAAGGCACAATTTTTTCCAACAGAATGGCATCTACACGTTTCACTTTTGTTCATATCACATTATTTTCTTTGCTCGTTCTCTACTGTCACTTTAAAAACTTAGCTACCCCACTCTCTAACTTACCTCTGCCGCTCGTTGAGTGAATGTACTCTTTTGCACTAGATTTTCGCTCTGTTGACACGTATAGGTTTGTTAGTCTTTTCTACTGTCTGGCATGTACAGCTTTTCGTTTCACTTGTCTGCTTCCTAACATTTGTCCCCCGTGGGTGCTTTCCTTGTATATTTTTGCATACCCGCAGCAGTGACTATGGCAGTCGCATGCAACTCATTGAACTGAACGCATCAGCCGTACTCTCCATGGCTTTATAGGAGTATGCGTCTACTCGGGTATCCCGGTCATTATTTTATGGGATTGGATGCATGACTGTCACTTGTGCCATTGTGTTTTTTACTTTTATCTTGAGAAAGAAGCTATTCACATTACCCATTTTGTTTCCATCAGATGGCGTGCTCTCGTTTCCAGTATTAATGCGGAGTGTCGTCGACCGGACAAGTTTGTGGCTAGCCATGGAAGTCTCTCTGGTAGTTGGCCAGGTCGTCGTTTGATTGCCACAGATTCTTGGATACTGTCATCTCACGGAATTAAGTTCCAGATATTGCGACAGGCATCTGATAGGATGCTTGCAGTCGTTGTCTCGACTTCCTCTATTTGGGATGCCGGTTCCCTTACCGAAGGTGGACGTCCAGCTGGGGAAAATTTAGGAACTCAAACGATGGCTGTGGTCCGCTTCGTTGCAGTGGATTCCGGGGCTTGTTTGCTTACTTTCAGGTAACTGTTGACCATCATTTTACTAGCGTGCCGCAAAACTTTGTTTGCTCTCTCTCTGTATTCACCCTATCATCCTTGACTAATGTGGCCATGTAGCTGAATGTTTGTACTTTCATAGATTTTCTTTAACTGATATCGGCTGCTGACGATACGCAGCAGCTGTAGCAAGCGCATGCAGCGCGGGTTCCGTTAAAACCGAATGAAAACTTTTGGATCTTAAAATCTACATTTTTCACTACATGCGAGCACTACTAGTAACCAATAACTGCATCTATGCACCAGACTGTCTTAACTTCCACATGAAGATACATTTATTTTAGGCCTAATTGTTTACCATATAAGTGGAATTTCTCCTTGATCAAGCACCTGCGAATGTTTACGACAATCCCAGCTTCTATTGGTACGATGCCTCTGTCTGTATTGGTCTTTTATTTCTCACGAATAGTCTGAACTACAGCGGATTAATACTGATCTAAGGAGAGGTGATCCAGACGCATCCTTATTCGCGAACACTTTTGTGCTACTTTCTAGACTTATTCATCGCTTCTTTTTGAACAGCTTCTATGTGCGTGTTATCTTGACCCACCCCGTCGCGTTTGATGACGCGGTGTCACAACTCACTGAAATCTCACATGAGTTTTCCATTTAAGCGTCAGGCAGGACACAGAGCGTCATGTGGCACTAGCCGAGATGATTAGCTTTGAGCTCGAAGGCTTCAAGTTGCATTCGTTGAATGATGATTACTTCAAGTGCCCGATGGTTACTGGCGCTTAACGGTTTTCTCAAGATGCTGAGAAATGCACACAGCTGCTATTCGAGTTGAACTTACACTCGGATGCAACGCTAAGTCCCTCACAGTAGGATGAAATCAAGCATATACCTTTAGATATGATGGCGCTCCCGTCGAGAAGGTTCCTTCCGCGCCACCACGAAACGTCCGTGTCGTAACGAGTGCTAATCATAGTACGCCAAATAAGCTTAGATCAGACCGCCTACTGATTGTTGATAATGCGGATGGAGATGGTTTGCACGCTTCTACCGATTCAGATGGCGCACTTGTCGTAGACACACAAATAAGATTGTCACAAGTAGTCCCAACCAATCAACATTTTGAGGGGTGACAAAACTGCCGGTGCCAACCGCGCTTTAGCCGTAGCTGCTTTCCATAATGTGATATATATATATATATATATATATATATATATATATTCCATTCCACTTTATTTGGTTTGTTCTGCCTACATGAGCACCCTTCTATCAACTGGCCACGTTTCTTACATTAATTGCGCTTACCTTCGGTAACTTTGTTGCGTTTTGTAGAATTTTTAACTAACTTGTGGACATTTCTTACTTACCACGGATTCGCTGCTAACCAACTTACTTGAAATGGTAATTTAGCGCAGAGTTATGCCACCTTATCTGTATGCATTATTGGATTTATTTTATTTCAGCTTGTCGTTTAAAGTGAATGGCTGTTGTTTGATATCCCCGGTGTGGCTGCGCTTGATGTGTATGTTGACAAGGTGCCTACCTGTCTATTACCCACTACCTCGTTCATACTGGCTCCAGGAGACAGTTGGTCGTTGCTGGAGGGGATGGGGTGCACGGTTCTTGTGGCTGTGCTAGGCTCGAAGAGTGGTTCCATGCACTCAGTGTGGAGCAGACTACGGTCCAGCCACCGCCTTGTGTGCGCTTGATTCCCCAAATACAGCGTGCTTGTGTTTGCCTGTGAAGGAGTGTGGGCCGGCTCCGTTGATGAAACGTGGCTCCCACCCACATGCCTCCCGGTCTTATTCCTTCGGGTTTACATTGGATATGGGGTGTGTGGTTGGAGCTGTGGGTGGTGCAGCGCAGGGCACCCATAGTCCCTCTGTAGGCGCAGGCGTCCTGTGGCTGGCCACAGTGACAATCGAATCCGAAACCGGATGCCGCCAACCATTGACCTGCATTAAGGCCAAGACTTTTCGGTCTATTAGATTGCTTCCTGAAATGCTCAGCCCAACACTGTGAGCGTTTTTTTAACAGGATGTTCACTCTTGTCGTAAAGAGTCCGCTGACACAATGTCTGCAACTGTCCGTTTACCGTATGATACGCAACATTTTTTGATAGCTACCAGAGGCTGCGGATATTTCCATCTCCGATGCACGATAAGATCATCAAACTTGACAGGGTCTGTTCTGCTTAACAGTCTTTTTACTCCGAGTTCTCTGGGGTCTCCCAACCAGAATGTGTCCGCAAGCATACAAATGTTCCAGATACTGCATAGAGTCTAATGCCCAGGTTAACAATCCGATTTGTGCACGAATACATATCGACTGTCTATAATGTTTAGATTGCGTTTGACAGGTGATTTTCATCGGTGTTCAGTGAACGCTTACCTTGCTCAGGTGCGAGTATTCATTGATACTAACTTAAAACATCCGGTTTCACCAGTTCGCGGGTGTCTGTGCTCACAGCGTCGTCTTGGTCGTCACCTGGAATGCACCCGAGGTCGGTACATACAAGTTTGTGGTTGGAGTCCACGCTTGTGTGCAACTCGAAGGACAATTTTGTGTGCAACCTCTCCAACAGCAATTGACCACGTAAGGATCTATCTGCGTCCATGACTGGTCCGAGGCTGGTGAGCGTCAAGTATGGTTGAAACTGTGTCAGAAGTTAATGTTCGCTAGAAATTGATGAGCAACCGATCAACCGTTACCATTTCGGGAATGTACACCGTGTTGGTTGTCCGGGTCTAGCTTGTTGCTGGACAGCCTTCCACTTCGATGATTCAGACCAACAGCCAGCCTTGCATTTCCTTACTTTTCGGTAACGAAACGCACATTCGTTTTGGGGTTGTTCTATCGACACGACGCGAGCCTGTAACGACACGTGAGGAGGAGTACCAACAAGCTGAAAAATCAATCTAAATCAGGAGTAGCAGCGAGTTGTCCTCCATCGAAACGACTCGGAGCTGATTGTGCCAGTCACGTAGTCAGAGGTCGCAGTGTAGGTTTCGTTGACAAATTTACCATTGTTTAATCCATACCACCCAGTCAAATAATAATAATAATAATAATAATAATAATAATGCGTCAGCTGTACGCCGTAACGGCGCTTCGCTGCCGCGCGACCACCACCAGTCGCGCGCGGGCTGAGTATACTGCGAGTACGCCCACCCCTACCACCCAGTCAGGTCGGCCCTGAGTCGTAAGAATATCATTTTTGGGAATACCGCCGTAGGGGCAACATTCCATGGAAAACTCGGTTTTCTCAACAGCGGTGAATGTTTTCTTTCACCGATTGTGCGCCTCCGTTTTAGGGAACATTAGCAGCAATAACCAGCATGCGTTTATTTGTTTCGCGTAATTTCGAAGATTTGGACAAGCCAGCGCACTTCCGGCTACTTATTTGGATCCATTCTACCAGAGGAGATTCCACTCGAGAGCCTAGAGCAATACCCACACTGGTTTGCTTGGCATTCGAAGCTGCATCATCTCCGGACTTGCGCAGTGAGGAAGTTCCGCCAGTGTCACTTGAAGCGGATCTTAGGGTGAGCACAGAGCTTGAATCTTGCTGTTGGGTTTCCGATATGCAGCAGACATCCATCGATAGGGTCTCTAGTGTAACAAATTGCTAACGTTGAGGTATACCATTCTTAGCGATGATTGAAGGCTCCGACTAGTAACGGATAAGCTGAGGTTGCTTGCTTGATTGAATACGGACTCATCGACAAGGGAGAAGTGACGCTGTGCGATTTTGTGTGAGTCACAACTGAAGACAATGCCATCAAAGCAAGGTTGGGAAGTACCGGGAATTGGGGACTGAAAGCAGGGGCCGAAGTAACTAGGATTTGACCATAAGGATGCGTAAGCGCATACGGGGGAATATGAAGTGAGGATGTTTGGGTAGTAGCATCCTCACCCTCATCCTCCCGCTCTCTGCAGCAGATAGGGCGCCGTTTATTATCCTTGGCGAAGTGTCCAGCACGTCAACAAACTGCGTGAAGTGATTTTCATTGTATTGCGCTGGGCACCCAGGCCTAAACAGTAAAGTAACTAGGGCTGTCAATCAAAACCTTCAGTTTAATACCTGACCGCCATGTAGCCGGAGTTCGTCAATGGGCTGCAGGGTTTCCTTTTTAAAGAATAAAACCACTCTTACTCCAAACCCAACCTGGAGGATCAGGAGACTGAGCTTGTCTGACATTTAACTATTGACCACTGTTGTGTGTGTGACTGAATATTCAAAAAGCATCATCCAGTATAGCTCAGTGGATCACTAAGACACGCAAACCATCGCACAACGATACGGTATAGCCTCATTGCGATGGCCTTGCCTGATTTGATGAAATGATTCATTAAACGTTTCATTCAATTGGGCGCTCGTTAACTTAGGTCCTTTCGATTAAAATAGTTTTGATGGGATGGTTCAATCATCATGCGGTCGTTGAATCGGCAAACTCGTAGGAGATTAAAGGATGGGGGCACCGCAGTTAGCGCAAGTTTACTAATTTGTCTCACTTAACAGCACAACTCCACTACTCTTTGAATACGCGAAAGCCCAGCAGACAATGGCTAACTTCGGCTCATCCTCGTATCCTCCTAACTTGGTTGCAGTTTCGTTATTTTCGGGACTGAAGGGCTCCTTAGCGTTTCCACGCCTCTCATGCTATTTGACACATTGATGGTTTGCGTTTACTGGCTATGTGCCTCAGTTCAGTTATTCGTTTTTTTACTGCATCTGTAATCGGCACATCTTTTGTTACAAATGCAACTTTATTCCCGTTGTTTTCTGAACGGCAACACTTTAATCCCCTCAAAATGTCGGCTATTTCCATAGTCCTGCTTTATCCACTACCACTTAAGTAGGTTCGCTTGTCGGCGCGTTGTATTCTCCTCTTACTCTTTTTGTGAATGCGCATCCCTTTCAAGTCTACAAGTTGGGTCACTTCGATACCACTGTGATACTTTCTCAACCTTCACTGTTCTCTTGCTATCCTAATCCTTCTCAGTGCTTTGTCTTGCACATCACAACTATCGCTTAAGTTGATCTAAGAAAGATTCTATCCAGCATAAAATTTGTCCCGTGTTGAATTTAGGTACCAATTGCTGACTCCAACGGTTTATTTTATCACTGTTTGTTAGGCATTTAATCCGACCTTTGAAATTATCAGAAAAATCTTCACGGGGACAATTATGTTTCTACCGACTTGGAGTTTGTCAGTCATTTCCTTAGATCTTGTTTGCTGCATATGATTCACCCGAAGTGCGTTAGTCCATCGGTGTTTCCTTGCTTATGTGCTTCGTCGACTGTGATACATTACTGTTGGGACCTAATTTTATTCAATCGACTCATGCGTTCTTTTTGGGCCTACGGAGAGAGATATTCATTGGTCATCATCGTGTGCCGTTCCCCAATGACCGGCCTTGGCTGTTTACCCCGGTGATTGGGTGCTGTGCTTCTGTAGCTCTACCTACTTGGCTGCACAGTCGCGCAATTGGTGTACGTGTACTTGAAACGTTTTCTTTCCAATAGCCATTGGCTAGCATATCTTGTGACCTCAAACGATTTGTGCTGCGGCACTTGGGTTCGCCTTCGTTTTCTTTACTTTCCTAGCAATAACCAACGATCTACCTCCTCTCCACTTCAATGGGGGGCGCATTTCATTGTCCTTTAGGTGCATATTGTTGGAAGCCAAGGACAGGCGACTTGTATGGTGCGCATATGCGCGATGTACTTGACCATGACTTGCGTCAATTTTGTTGCAGAAGTAGGATCGGTAGGCTTAAACAGTATCCTGTTTTGCCGATGTACTCGATATTTTTCCCAACGAAACTAATGTTAGTTTGATTGTGTAGCTGATATATTGGAGCATTATATTTACAGGGACTAATAATTTACTCATTCATATCCCGTCTTTGGGGGTAAAGCTCATCAATTCTATCCTCTGATGGTGCGCTGAACTAGAGTGAGCTAATCAATCGATGTCACTCATTATACGTACGGAAAGTGGGTTACCAGTTGACCCGTAACTCCGCAACACATTTTGATGTTCGCTTTCATTTACTGTCTCGGTTGGTTACTTTGCCAACACGTCATGTACCTTTTCCTTACCTACCATTCGCATCATTTTCGATTTGCCACCAGCGCTATCATCACTTTCTGTTATATCTTCTTTCATGCGTTAGCTTACGGGCCTCAGATTTGGACTCATTACGAGCCAAATTACAGTTCCCTATGGTCCATGCTGAAGGAGTTGAACTCGAACCAACCATCGTGCAACGCTTCATTCGCGCCTTCTGTGATGTTGTTGAAGAGAATGGGACCGTTTCCCCACCACAGCATATGGTACGTGTTTTCACCTGCTTTCACAGTTGCCTGTGTGTTCGTATTTTCCAATGCCTGTTTTCCATTCATCGAAAAATTACTTGGTTATCAATGTTTTCGGGTTATGGGACTCCCTGCTTTCCATTGTTACCTCTCAGTATTCACTGACTTGCAGCTCACTGCCATGCAGAGGACGGATTAGGTCACTCACCTTATGTTTGGTAGGTTCGTCGCTTGATGAGTGTGCTGCCCTGTCCTCTGCACGCCAATAACGTGCAACTCAGTGGATAATGAGTGGTGCTACATCACAGCTAGTAACTTAGTCACGACAGTCGTTACCCTCCACCGTGGCTAAGTGATCTTGACCACAACTAGCAACAGTCGAGTTGCGGCTTCGAGCGCTACTGTGGTCAGATAGAATTCGCACTGCTGACGGTTCCCAAAGGGCGAAACGGCCGTACAGTGCTTTTCCGTGTGTGCGTGTTGCCTGTCTGATTGAATCTCGATGTGATGATTTTACACTTATGCCATTCAAACTCCTTGCTCAGTTATTGTACCACTCGAGCTTTTCTTGTTTACTAATGTTTTATCTTACTAATCTGACTCGGCTTTTCAGTCGAAAGTAGAGTGTTGGATTACATATCGTAAGCAATTCAAACCGTGCATCCTACGTAGGTGGAAAGTATATGGTGATGCTCACCAGTGATAAGGGAGAGGAGACTCGTTTGTTGCTCACTTATATGCAACTCGTAAAATTTTTGAGGCCAGTAGGCACTTCGCACGTTATACGTGTAACTTGTGGCTTTTTTTAGTGAATGCTTGATGGCAACATTGCAACACTACCCTGCCCTTACTTTTAGTATTCGGTACCTTCCCTGCCGTTTCCTTTTGTTCATTTATCATTGTTTTATTGACTTTGTTCGTGCGTCAGCTGTGGCCATCCCCCCCCCCCGTTTTTTCCGTGACCCGTTGGCCGCTCCTTTCATGAACCGTAGACCTGCACCTGACGAATACTAAGCCGATTGTGGCGTCCACTCTTGTCAGCGACTTCGTCCAGTGTCTATCTACTTTAATTGTACTTCTATCAACTGATTGGACTGAAGTTCATTTCAAGGTGAATTGTGGTCTCGATTGGGATTGTGTTTCGCAGTCCATTCACACAACGTGTGCTTCGGAATGACCTTTTCAACCAGTCGATAACTGTTGTGACAAACATTGCCCTCCGTGACTATGGCTTAGGAGTAGAGGTATCGGTGGATATTCCAATGACTTCACGTTCCAGTCGCAGTTCTGCTGTGTCTGTCTGATTAGTTCAGACGAGCACGAAACTGATCATGTTGCAAGCGGGCAACACTCAGTATTTATCTAAATAATTCAGTAACTCTCTCCGCGTTGCCCCAAAGCTACACGCTACACCATCGTGACGTTCTGTTTAGTCCCAGCCTAGTAGTGGCTACCAAATACAGTCATAGCTGAATTCTTGGAGCGTTCGCCGACCGTAGCCTAAAGGTAACAAGCTTGCTCTCTAATCTGATATCTCGGGTTCGAGCCTGCGTTGGGACCTCGCAGTATCCTTAGCCCACTTGCGACTGGTGGTGGTTGCGCAGCAGCAAAGCGTCGGTACTGCATAAGGGCGTTCTGCTTATGCCTTTTGTTGCAGCGTTCGCCTACCTGGGCAACTCTATTGCAGGCGTTTATCACCAATCGAGGGGAATTCGTCAGTGCAGGATTGATAGCATTTTCATTGCAGGAGTTATTGGAACGCAAACCCAATAATGGATCATGGCTATTTATCCAAAAGTGCGTGCATGCCAGTTGGAAAGGGAGGATGGTAGGTATGTAGCAAACGGAATTGTCGTCCTTTGGTGTCTATAACAATTACTCGACAAAACCACTCAACATCATCGGTTGTTAGCTTCCCACTCACATTGGGACCCAGTTCAATTTTACTAGTCAATGTTATGTTAACAGCTTGCCGACATTTGGTGTCACAGCTTTGTAGTTTTGCACTGGCAAATGCTCATACGGGTGATTTGGGTGCTGCCGGGGCGGTCAAATTTAGACAGAATGGCGTATTAGCAATACGTCAACGGCCCCATTGATGTTTCGTCACCATGTACTTGCATCCGGTTATGCACGGGCTGCCATGGTCGTTAAACCCATACAAGGACGAGGCTCGAATCCAAGTCTTGGAGATGACAGGTCAGATTTCTGGACCGAATTCGCCACTGATCCTCTATCCAACGGTTTGTGACCATGTGTTTTTGACAAGATGTAGCTGCTTTGACCGTGAATGCTGCTCTGGGCGTTTAGATGTTACACTACGTCCCATTCTTCTCCCTCTCATTATTCTTCATTTCCTGGGTCATTTTGGTTGCATGGCAGTGAGGCATCAGTCCAAATGGCTAATGTGCTGCTGTTGTTGACGATGATAGCAAGACCGCATCGTGTGTGTGTGTGTGTGTGTGTGTATGATTTCAGCGCAACAAATGCTTAAAAATTCTACACTTTGGATTGCTCTCTAAAATGCGCACTTCGACTCACACAGTCGAACAGCGTGGAGGCAGGTGGCAGCAAACGTAACTACGTATGCGACTAAGTTATTGGAGTGCCTTAGAGGTTATCTTGATATCAGCTCTTCGGGCTCAGCTTAACCAAATCAAACGAGGTGTCACAGGATTTGAGTTAGCATGGCGCGTTCTACTTTTTACTGGCATGGTCACTTCAGCTTAGTTTAGCCAAATGAGGCGAATGACAGACAGTAAACAGAGTAAAAATTTTCAGACTTGTTTTGCGTTGTATCAGTTTTATTTTGTCATCATATTTAGTGCGACCTAGTAAATCGAAATGATCGGGAAAATTGAGTTACCGGCTGGATCGTTAGGTTAGTCAAACGACGAAATCACCATGGTTTCTCATCCAGAACTCCTTATTGTTGCTCACGCAAATCACTGAAGAGGTTACTTCGCGTATCAGTAAGGCCCGTATGACTTTTCAGAGGCTCAACCATCTATGAAGACGGTGGAATATCAGCTTTTCACTGAAAGGTAGGGTGTATAACGCTGCGATAAGACCAGCGCTACTGTATAGAGCGGACACCTGGCCAGTTCGCAGTGAAGACATTAAACGGTTGACCGTGTTTGCCTATCGGTGCTTGCGAAGTATTGCTCACGTTTGATGGGAACACCGGGTGTGCAATGCTGAGGTTCATCATTTGGTTTATGGCAAGAAACCTTCTGGTACGTCACTCGAGTTTTTGATAAATCTTAATCGCTTGCGTTGGCTTGGCCATGTCCTCCGTATGCCAGTTGACCGGCTTCCTCGGTGTGCATCATACGCCATGGCTGCACCAAATTGAGCGAAACCGCGAGGTGGCCAGTCCATGAAGTGGCAAAGAAGCTTGAAGAAATTGACCGAGAGACTTAGCTAGGCTGGTGCGGTCTTCATGGATGAGGGCCTCGGGATGCTCCACACCAATGGTTGGAAATCGTATCAGACATGGCGCAGTCATGAAGTCAGTGGTGTTCCCGCATTCGGTTTCTTTCATCCGGTTGGTACTTTTATTTCCATTCTGATTAATCAGACACATTTCCTTCTTGCACCAATTTTCTCCATATTATCCTCACATCCAGACCCACTATCCTACGGTTGTTATTTATTGTTATTCTCGCGATGTGAATCGTAGCAACTGGATCCATCTCACTACGGTGCTCGAACCATAGTCGTTTATCTCAACAGGACTGATTGTTGCTCACGTGAGATCAATATCTCCCAGTGCGGTTCTGTTCAGCATAAACTCCTCTTTTGAACCGTTTATTCGAGGCTACTCGTCGTGGTATCTCTCGGAGAACGAAGCCTCGATCAAAATTATCTTAATCAAAGAGCACGATTTCTGCTTATATCTGGTATCATTTAGTGCCACTCATAAATATAGAGCATAGGTAAATGCTCGACCAACGCTGGAGCTTCATTCATGTCCGTCCAACTCAATTACATATGATCATTTAGTTCGCCCCGGCTGCATTAGATCAGCATTCGGACTGCCTTCCCGAATTCACTAAGCTCGCCTGTTCATTAAGAAACCAGCATGCTCAATGTGGTGTCTTTGCGCCATTTACTCTAGATTACTGTGTGTTCTGCTGAAAATTGCACCTACACTCACAGTTGGAATTGCGTTCACGCCAAAAATTCAGTTACATCGAGAAGTAGATCTGGATTTATTTAACCAATCAATAGATGCGAATATTCCAAAACCATTTAGTGCAACCGTAACCGTTGCCATCTTCCAGGGAAGATACTTTACGCCGTGAAGTGAAGCTACCCCCCATTCTTGTTATCAATCTAATTGCATCCCCTTTTGTCCAATATCGCTCTATTGATATTCTATCTTCGATCTCTATACGGCCTTTCTTTTTTCGTGCTCATCTTCGTTATGCGGCTTTACTTTTCTTCTGTTCTCGTCTAGGAGATTGAACAGTGCATCGGATGTATGAGCTCGCGAGCCAACGTCATGCTTCAGCAGCGATGCGACTCAGCTGCGCATGCGGCTCTCGATGCCCAAACTCCAACCAGCACATACGTACCTCCTTGTTCTGCGTGCCACTGTCGGCCAATGTGGTGCCTTGAGTGTATGGCACGCTGGTTTGCCGCCAGACAAACAGAATCTCACCGACCGACGTCAGTTTGGCTATCTGGTCGCATACCGTGTCCGACCTGTCGGAATATCTTCTGTGTTCGTGACGTTGTTAGGATAGCACCAGAGTCGTCGTCAGCAGGCGACACCATGTGATCCATAATCTGATTCAAGCATTGTCACCTTATCTTACTTCCAGCCTGTGCCTACACTTTTCGTCGACTGTGCAAACCTTATGTCCATTCAATATATCCGTTGCATCTTCTATTACACTTCTCTGTTTGTTCTCTGCGTCCATTATGCAAGTTAGTGTTTTATGCGCGTTTTTGATCAGCCGCACATGTGTGCTTGGACCGGGAAACCCCATCAAGGTTGGTAAGCGGCGCTTGAAAGCATGTTACCTCTGTTGTTTCGTTCCACGCATCTAACGGCTGATGTCTAGAAGTCGTCAAAAGTGTATTTCCTGAGCAGCTCTCCTACTTTAATGGCTCAAAATACACACATGATCGCAATGGTGAAATGCATTCTCAGGCCGATCGAATCACAGGGGATGCTAATCTTCAGCTACCTAATAATTGCCATTCAATGGAGGGAATCATAGACAGGCAGATTCTGCGTGAAGCTTTCTTTTCTGTATCTGTCATCTGACTATAGCTTTACATGATGCCGATTGCATGCTAAATGTTCCTTATAAGGTTGCGTATTGATAGGAAAGTTTGCTTTAAAGGGAAACGAACCGATGAATCTCGTGGTTATTGGAGGTAGCAGATTATGTACTAAGGCAAATCACCTCCATAAACAAAGATTATCTGGGCTAGACCGTCTGTCGTAGGCCACGGTAGATGTAATAGCTCGCAAATTATTATTTTTTACGCACAACGCCGGCTTAAAACGACTAAGCTAGATAGCTTTCGCAATGGATAGACCATGCTTGCGGAATCCGCGTGTGATACTTTCAGGAATGGAGCAGATGACTCTGAAGTTATTTTCCGAGCATGTGTGCACACAGTCTAAGAGGTGCTACATGGTAGAACAGCTATAAGATCCCGTTTCGCCTCTTTAATACTACTAAATGTTTTCACGAATGCTATGAGATAGGCGCCTCGTAGTATGACCCACCATAGAAGTACGGTCATCCATAGCACTTCATCTCGCAAGCTGCTTTGTGTTCATGTAGACTTGTTTTGATACGGCCGTTTCAGTTCGGCTAATGAGAACTGATGAACTGCATCTGGGCGGCGAACACGGTGTTGGCTCCTGTAATGTTAACGCTGAGCAGTTACTTCATTTGTGTGAAGATGCTCGCTTATTTCTTGCAAGCCCTAATTTCCGACATAGCATCCGCCGGAGGGTGACTTGGCTCCCTCCAGCCTGGAACCAGCAGCGGATGCCAATCGATCACATTGCGATAAGTTACCGCTGGATAGGCTGCGTCCAGAACTGTCGCTCGATTTGAATCACATCTGTGGACACCGACCATGTGCTGACTGGCAGATGCGTTTTGGCGGACGCCCACGACGACGCTGTGAGCTCATTGACACCAGTCAGCTGTTTTGGATGATGTTTGCGTAAGCGCTTACTGGATACAACTTAATCTCACTGGTCACATGTCCGCCTGACCTTACTAACAGCAGGTAAATCTTCATGTGGTATGTCTAATCGCCAAATGGGATATTGGGTCTCTTCGCGGTCTCTGGAACTTATCGACGATCGCCGGCATATCCCGGCTGTAAGTGAACACATTGAAACTTGCAAAGAGCTCCGGGCAAAACTCCGTGCTAGCCTGAAGAGAGACCGCGAATCTTGGTGGTCTTATCGTGCGTCAGAGATGGAAGTGGCCGCTGCCATTGGTAACCATCGGAAGTTATTTCGTCTGATACGGGAAAGGGGCAGCAGGAGACCTGGTGTTAGTGAAGCTATACGTGAGGAGAGTGGACAGCCTATCCACAACTTGTCGAAATAGTTGAAGTGTTGGGCTGAGCATTTTGAACAGCAATTTAATCGACCGGAATTGTTATATTCCTCAACGGCCAGTAATCACCCTACTCCCTGGGCTGCCTCTTTATACCGGCCTTCGCTCCGAAGTCGAAGGTGAGATCGGACTGTTGAAATTGAACAAAGCCGCGGGAACAGATGATCTTCCTCTAGGCCTCTTCAAATTCGGAGGCTCTACTCCTGTTGATGCTTTACATGAATTACTAGTGAAACTGTGGGAGCAAGAGACTGTCCCAACCGACTGGAGCCGCTCCGTTATTGTTCCTATCTTCAAAGGAGGCTCGCGTTCGTAATGCGGCAACCATAGAGGAATCAGTCTGATCTCCATCGCCTCCAAATTACTCGCCTCCTTAATTCTTCACAGACTGACTGGTGATCGTGAAAGCAGATTCGTGAGGAACAGGCCGGGTATCGTCGGTGTCGTGGCTGCGTTGCCTGCATCTTTACTTTGAGTCAGTTGTTGGAGCACCGTCACATATATCGGCGGCCCACCGTTGTCGTGTTCCTCGATATTAAAGGTGTCTTAGATTCGGTTGATCGATGTGCCCTTTGGGACTGTCTACTCAGGAAAGATGTGCCCTAAAGTATGTGAATATTATCCGAGCATTATACGCGCGTAGCTCGTGCAGAGTGAGAAGTTACGGCCAACTATCGTCTGCCTACAATATCTCCAGCGGTGTGAGACAAGGATGCCCGCTGTCATCTTTCCTCTTCAACTTCGCTATTGACGAAGTCATGGAGATTGCGTTCACAGGACACGACTTAGAAAGTGTAGTGCTGCTCCCAGGAGAACGACTTCTTGACTTAGAGTATGCTGGCGATATTGCCCTAATCGGTGACAGCTCCAAGACGTGCCAAATGGCTCTGGACTGATTAGCACTGGCTGCCACTCGTTTCGGGCTTCGCACCATCGAAGTGTAAAGCGTTCCTCCAAGATTGGTCTGCACCGCCTCCTGCGCTGACCCTTGGTGGGGATCAGCTAGAAGTTGTTCTAAAATTCAACAACCTGGGAAGTTGTATCAGCACCCGTGAGATTGAAAATAAGATCACGAACCGTATAGCAAAAGCTCGAAGTGCTTTTGCTAACCTTCGCCACTTATGGCGCCGGTGCGACATCACTCTCGCCCTTAAGAGTAGTGTACAATGCGGCGTACGTTCGACCCTACTGTACGGTTGTGAAACCTGGCCCCTAAGATCGGCGGACATGAAGAGGCTAGTTACGTTCGACCATCGGTGCTTTCACAATTTGGCTCACATCTGGAGGGAACACCGCGTGAGCAACGAGGGTGTCCGACGCTTTATTTACGGCAAAGGAGAAGGAAATGAATCGCTCCGTACCGTTATTTCACGTACCAGGCTCCGATGGGTGGGCCACCCGTTGCGCATGCCAGCCCACTGACTCCCGCGACGTGCGATGTTTGCGCGCCGGGGTTGTGGATGGAAGAATAGGAGGGGTGGCCAAGCGATGACTTGGTCTAGAGGAATGTAGGCCCTTACTTCGAAGTTGGCCTCGGTTGGAGCGCTTCGGCTCCCTGGTTGAGGTCCGACGGAGGATGAGCACGTTTGGCTAGGTACACTTGCTGACATGGCTAGCAGCGGACTTCAGTGACGTTCGTGCTGTGAATTTCTTTGTCCTACCCCATCCCTTTTGGCCTCACCCCTCAACCACGATCTCACTACTTAGCTTAAGATAATTTCGCATATTTAATTTGTTTTTCTACATGGTAGCCAGCTGGTAGCTTTCCGGAACGATGCCCATCCGTTACCGATAGCTCAGCTGGCTTGCATCTGTTGCATACTTTTCGTTCTTTTCTTTTATGTATTGCGGCACAGTAGCTTAGGTGCCTCCCACCTCTAGCTAACGTGTCTAATGATGATGATGAGGATGAGCTGGTGGGTTACGGAACGCCTAAACTCACACGGCTTCTGTGTTGACTACTAAGTCCTGCATTGCGTTGCTCACAAGGAAGTTGAGATCACTATCATTCTCAGATACCACCCTGATCGTATTCTCATGTCGACAATGCGTAACGGGGCCTCCACTTGCCCAGTGGAAATATCCGATTGGTAGATTTCAAAACCTTCGCTCATTGGCGTTTGTATACAGTTTCGAAGATGGCTGCTCGTTATACGAGCGGGACTACTCTTATTCGAGCCTAATATGGCCAGTAGAAACTTGTGTTCTTTCGTATGTCTTGTGAAATTTCTTCACTGGCTATGATTACTTTCTGCTTTTGTTTTCACCCTGATAGTATGAGCAAGTACTTACTGTTGTTTCTCGGGTCAACTTTTGCGACATTACTGCCCATAACCCATTGCTTGATGCATGCGCCGCGAGAATAAATTCTTGAGTTGTATCCAAATGGTTCAGCAGTAAGCCTGAAGCCAAGATATTGTTGACCCCTTCCAAGGACACTGGTTTTCTTGCTTCGAGTTGCGAGTGTGATTGTCGCTCAATATCTTGTTTAACTGCGCACACTGGCGGATAATTGAGAGGGAAGTACTATGTAGTAACTTCGAGACACGAAACTCCTGCAGCAATTTTCGGTCATTTTCCTTATTACCCTGATACTCGCCAAATGTGTCGATTTTTCTAAGATTAAAACCAAGGGGTCTTTTGGTTGGCGTGAAAATTTGCCTTTTCCTCACGGATCTGGCCACCATACGTTTGGATACAGCCTGGCACTTCACTCAACCGATGTTCGGATTAGTACAATGATGTCATCCAGATATGCGATGCCCTCCTCCCGCAAGCCTGTTATCCATCAGCCGTTGAAAGTTGATCACCACTTTCTGCACATGAAAGAAAATGCAGTTCTACTGATTCCTTTCACGATGAATGTTAATCGTTCGCAGCTTCTGTGAGTATCTGTCAAAATTCAATTGAAGGTGGATGTCGGACGACACTATTTCGTCGAAACACTTCCCACCATTCATCCCAACGAACAGGTTTTCCAGTATTGTGTGTGAACACTGACTGTCAACATGCGCCATGTTCAAGGCGGTTGAGCGATCAGCGCAAGCACATTCGTTTGCCAATCGCTTTTCCTTACTGCGACAGGTTGTGTAGCTCATGATGTGATGGCACCCGCTAGTCCTAGCCGATCAAGCACCTGCTCAATTACATGTGGTAACAGTCGTCTACCAATGAAACGCGTTTGGATCTGGGTACACGCATATCGTTGCTCTGAACTTTGTGCTCTAACTGAATGCACAGAGGAGAGTTGCTGTCTCAGTCGCTACCGTGCTTTCGACCAACTTCGATGAGCGAGGTAAATCCGCTCGGAGCTGATTACGGGTGTGAATCAGCGGAACATCAGATAGTACTAGCTTTTCAGTTCGATGCAATCGATCTGCCAAGTAGCATTTTTCAATTTCTCACTCCATTAAGTGCCGTTTTTCACACACCTTATCCCACGGACTTCAGCACTTCCCGGATGAGATGTGAGCCACTAGTGAGAAGGAATAACTTTCGATCTCGTGATGTGATTCCATGTGCTCTTGTAAGCAAAATTTATTCCTAGTTAGTGTCAAACTACAGCTGATAACCGTAGTGATAGTGCTTTTTCTTGGTTTGACCTCAATATACGAAGCAACCACGACTATCACGCGGTTGGTGCGGATATTTATGTCACCCCACAAAATGTTGATTAGTCGAAATTGCTTGTAACTATCTGCTTTTTGCCTGTCCACGACAGTGTGCCATCGAAACCAGTAAAATCGTGCAAACGATCGCCATCCGCATTATCAACAATCAGTAGGCGGTCTGATCTAAGCCTCTTTGCGTAGTTTGCTTAGCACTCGTTACGACACGGACGTTTCGTGGTGGCGCGGAAGGAAGCTTCTCGACGAGAGCGCTATCATATCTAAAGGTATATGCTTGATTTCATTCTGCTGTGAGGGACTTAGCGTTGCATCCGAGTGTAAGTTCAACTCGAATAGCAGCTGTGTGCATTTCTCAGTATCTTGCGAAAACCGTTAAGCGCCAGTAAGCAGCGGGCACTTGAAGTAATCATCATTCAACGAATGCAACTTGAAGCCTTCGAGCTCAAAGCTGATCATCTCGGCTAGTGCCACATGACGCTCTGTGTCCTGCCTGACGCTAACATGATAAAATCATGAGAGATTTCAGTGAGTTGTGACACCGCGTCATCAAACGCGAGGGGTTGGGTCAAGAAAACCCGCTCATATATGCTATTCAAGCAGAAGGGCGACTAATCATTGATGTAAGTGACTCACGATTGCCTGTACTTTCGTTCATCATTGAATCATACCTGGTTTTTGGGTGAGTGTTTCGCTATGCTGAATCTTTCGGAGGCGTACCTATAGATTTAGGTACACGAATCCTTGCTAGTCATCCCAACTGATTACTGGACACAGTGGTTGGAGATTCGATAGAACAGCTGCATGCATGGGCGACATTATTGTTATCTGATGCTGTACAGATAGCCTATGTGAAAAGATAGATTAATTTCTTGGCCGAGTCTAGGAATATGGACTCAGACTCCATTATGAGAAGCGGACTTTCTTTATTAATTCAATCACGTTCATTTGCTTTATAATCGAGAGGAACGGTGTGCCTGCAGGCCATACGATTATCGGGACAATCAAAAGGATGCTCCTTCCGTTTTACGTGCATCACTTAAATCCTTTCTAGGACTCAGCGTTTTCCTACTTCCTACACATCGCTTGCATGGTCCACGAAGTATTCCTGAGACCATTTGAGGAGGCAGGAGGACTGCTATGTTCCGACCTGCTGCTTGCGCATTACGATCCTATCTTGGAGATTACGGTGGCCGTATACGCACCGAATTATGGCAACACTGCAGGCGGTTCCGGAAAGGCAATTACACATGCATCCAGATTGCTGTCACCTGCAGAATGAAATTACGTCCATTTTGAGAAGGAAGCCTTGGTGATAGTCATCGCATTAAAGGAATTTTACAAAATGCCATATGAAAGGTGAGCGCTTCTTAGTGACAAAAAGCCACTGTTGGCGATTTTCGGATCAAAGTTAGACATCAGTCTCTATACGTCGAAAGTTTGCAACGGTGGACCACTAATTTGATCGGTTACGAGTGTATGATAATGTATATTTCTCCAAAATATCTAGGTTAAGAGGACGCGCTTTCCATGTACTTGGTAAATTGACAGCGCCATCAACAAGTATCCTTCATTGTAGCAGTCTATCTCGGGTCGGAAGTGAATCAGGTGCTGTTGCAAACCTGCAGAAAGCCTCCGATGTTGTATGATGCCTCGATGCGAGATCCCATTCCTCAACAAGCGGTCAAATTTCATACTACTCCATGGCCGGGACACAACCTAGCAAGGGAGTCACAAAAAGACGAATTACCAGTCGTCAATGATTGTTTACTTCTGAAGAAAAGAATTGTTTTTCCCATAGAGTTTCGCCACAGAATCCTGCATATTTTCATCACCTACATTCTGGCTTTGACAGAATGAACAGCAGTATCGTGATTGTTGGTTCCTACAGCAAGTGGCCTAGGGTCTTCAGTATGGAGCGTACGACGAGCGATGCAGTAATCAACAACACACTGGGACGAATTTTGCTGACATCTAATACCAGAGACCCCATTTACTGAGAACAGCTCTCAGTTCACCTCTTCGCTGTACGCAGAACTGCATTGCACACCTACGTTTGCGTTGTTCCAATCTCAGTGCAATGGGCAAGCGAGGCGCACCGTTGATACGTTTAAACGAACGCTACTGAAGACAAGTGGAGAACGAACCGCACAAGAGATACTGGATGTTTTTCCGATACTTTACAGATCAACTCTAACCACCAGATAGTAAATTAGCTGACATCAGCAAAAACACGAATGTGTAGAGAAAACCGTACTCCGAATTTATTGTTGCTTCCGAAGTGCATTTACCCCGAGAATGGAAAACTGCTGCGATCAGGACGCCAAGGACGGTGTTTTAATCAGCAACTATCGCCATGGACGACCAAAGTGGACAACAGACTTGATCAAATGCAGATAAGTACTTCAAACATGGCACAGTCACGAAGTCAGTGGTATTCCTGCATCCCTTTTCTTTCTTCCGGATGGTACTTTTCTTTCCATTCTGATTAGTCTGACGCGTTTCCTTCTTGCATCAATTTTCTCCATATTCTCTTCACACCCAAACCCACTATCCTACCGTTGTTATTTACTGCTGTTCTTGCGATGAGTCGTAGCACCTGGATCCACCTCACTTCGGTGCTCGGATCATAGTTGTTCAACTGAACTGGATAAGTACTGTGTACATTTCGAGTGATCGTTACACGTTAGACCAGACATGCAAGCTATCTGCGACCAACGGGCATTCAGCTAACTACCATTGGATATTCCGCTGGATACTTACGACGCACAACCTAAAACTCAGGAGGGACCGAGTCCACATCGCTTTGTAGCCACGGAAGGAACGAACATGCATACCCGACCATACACGAGTATGATGCGGAAGTCCTTGATCAAAACACATCTGGATCCTAGGAGGAAGTCGTACATTAATTTTCGATAGTGTGTTAAGAGAGCCCATTCATAGAAGCTGTTCAAGTCCAGTTCCATGCCAGTAACGTCATCGGAAACTCGGTCGAGAAGCGCTCGAAGTTTATTGGCCAGCAATCAGCCAGTGACAGCGCTTCTTCCATTGCAGTCGGCTAATGGTGAAAGTTTTAGTTTGGAGCCAGCCAACAAGAGTGTTTTACTTGCATCTGGTGTTTTATGGTAGTTCGTAATCTTCCTCTGGATCATTTTCTTTTAACTATATAATACGACTGTTTTTTACTGTTTTGAACGCTGAATTTTCCGGTGCCCACTTGAAGGTTTATACTTGGTCTTTGTCTGGAAAGTGGTTTGTCCGGCATTTGAAGAGCTGCATCCATTACTGTTATGTCAGTAAAGGCAAAACATTACCAAAGATAGTAGTTTGTAAATGGCCCCAGTAGTGGGGAACGAAGGGATTTCGTCACGTTTGTGACCTGAATTTTTCTGAAGCGGCTTGACGTTTCTGTTGAGCATTGCTGGTTTGAATCGTTTTCTCATTGAGATGTTTCGCTTTTATTGAAGCTTTTATTTCCCCATCTACAGCAGGTTTCTAGGGAAGCCCGTCTTTTGTGTTCACCCCATCATATTTAGTATCCCGGTCTTCTCTGCATACCTCTCCCGGACTTTATTGTTAAAATGTTCTTGAAGGACTTTCTCGTGCCTTTCTCTGCTTATTTCCGAGTGGACATTCATTTAAATTACCTAATGTCAATGCTGTTTTACGCTTTTGAGCTAGCTTTGTTGCAGGCGCTGTTGAATCGGCTAGCGCATGTCACTGCATGCCTTCGCAAGTGCTTCCCTGTCTACACCCAAAGCAATATTATATGTATGGGCTGCCACATCACTGGTTTTCGCTGTCACTTGACAACCACCCGAATTAGTCCGTCGGTTTACTTACCTAGTTATCCGTATCAACTGATCATCACATCACTGTAGGGGTTGCTACAACCATAGTCAAGGTTATTTGGCGGTTGAAGAACACCATCACTTATGATGATGGTTGTGTTGCATGCACTTATTGATTACTGAAGTGGTGTGCGATGCCTCCGGTGCACTGAGGAAATCAAGATACTGGCTGTGTTTGTCCAGGATGCCTGTGAAGCATTTTTCATCTATGATGAACGCACCTTATGAACGATTTCGCATTCAGTTAGATCATGCTTAGCAACAAGCAACCCGATCGCATTGTCGTGCTTGCTGCACTCCACCGTTTACGCTTGCTAGCTAGGGCACGTGCTCTGCCAGCCGGTTACCAGGTTTCGTGTAGTTTGTCAATCCTTCACCTGTTTGGGGCGAAGCCTCGAGGTGAATGATCATCGATGCCCACTGACATGGCAGAAAAGATTAAGGGAACTCACATGGCTAGTTAGCCACTCACTCGAACCTAGCGATACTTCGAAAGCATTGGTGTTCTTCCGGCCGTTCCCCCATTCCTAACTCTCAATTTTCCCATATGACGACTTCATTTCTTAATCATGTTTTTTCTATCACCTTCCTCATCAATCCCGCCACTATTATTGTTATCACAGTTGTTATTCTTTTGGCAGTGTTGTTCAAGACCATTTGGTCCGCTGCTGTACCGGTGCGCGTATCACGGCCTGTCACGCTCTTCGATCGTAACTTTCACGCTCCTCGTTCATCCGTCTGCGTCACATCGTTTCGAATGAGGCACCCAACCTGATGGGGTGGATAAACGGAACGGAATGTTACTAATCCCTCCGATTTTCCTCTCCGTTTCCCGCACACCTCCGACTCCATTATTTGCCTCCCTACTGTGATCCCCAACGTAAGTAACGGCTACCGCAGTTCTATTAAACTCTCGTCATGACCCTTCACAATATTAAACAATCTGTTACCAATATCTCATCACCCAACTTTGCTCGGCTTTTGATTGGGCGTTTACATTTTGGGCCATACCACATTAGTCATCAGTTTGCAGTTACTCGCGCACTGGGCACCCTGGGTATCAGCTTGTGCACTGTCACCAAGGCCGGAGTTCGCAGCTCTCACAAGTTTATGTAACTAGTTATGTCCTGTTCACCTCTCGCTTTTGGTGACATTTGTCAAGAAGTACTGATGCGAAAGAATGTATGAAGTCTTCGTATACATCGTTCTTGATTCCATAGTTGTATCCTCGCTGGTTGGTTATGGTCATACCGGGCTGCTCCACTTGGCTATTCGGGGAAAATCTGTCTGCCCTGGTCGGCCGACCACAAAGGCAAGGTCACAGATACGGTGTATTGTCCACCATACATCAGAAAATTACACGGCGCAAAGTACCGATATCTATTTGTTCTGTGGCCTTCTTTGTTCTCTTCTATTCTTTACTTACCAATAATTATACTAGACAGTCCAAAAACATTCCTTTGCTCAATCAGTGCGATTCTTCTCCTTTATTCCTAGTAAACGGCTGGACTTTGATCTGTTTAGGGTTCGCTGATCCATTTGATAAGAGGCACTCCTCAAAACACCCTCGTTTGAAGTCCACTGTTTTATGATGTTAGCCTGGGGTTGACCTGCAGTGGCGTTACAGTGACTCCACAGCGATCCGTCCAACTTCATGTGCAGAAGAGGTTGATGGAGTGAAAGGCTTATCTTACTGATTAACCTTTGTCGTTGATAGTTTGAACTCGTCCAGAAGCATTTCATGAGGCGTATGTTATGGGAACCCAACGTTCCCACAATAATCACAAGCTTAAATCACAGAAGGCAATGAGACTCGATTCAGACAAGTGCACATGTTTCGATCAGCCTTCCAACTAGTGGGACATTCATGTTTTGATTGGCCTTTGTACCTCAAAAAGCATTGCTGTTTCCGACCAACCTCCGCAATCATAAAACATCCAGCCCTTTTTACCTATGAAATATTTAGTTTTCTAGTCCAGCCTCTGCATCTACCAACATTCACTTTTCAACGTCTTGTCATATTTGCATAGTGCTAATTCAGTTGCTTCCAGGGTTTGCTTACGCAAACCACTGGCACCATCGAGGTATAAAAGAAACGCTCGACTACGCTGTAGTTTCTTACACGAAAGGCTTGTCTTTGTTTTTTGTTCTCTCTGGTTTGCATAGGTGCGTGTGAAATTGCGTTCGGTCTAGGAGCCCGTTCCACTCGCGCGTGATAACTGTGTTGCGCCTAAGTCTCACGGGTCGTACAACGAATTTTGTTGGTTACTTTGTCGTGCATGAAATAGTTCCAAGCCACATTCGTTCGGCCTTCTATGAGAATTGATACCACTACTACTGGGAGGAATACCTTAAAAGTTTGTATCTAAACTCCTGCTACTCATGAGTAGCATTTTCTCTCCTGTCGAATTAGGTGTGGCGAACCATCTGTCATCGTTTACGGCCACTTCAAAGCCGCCATAGCCATGCCTTTTTATAACCAATCCAAGTGTCCATGAGGTTTTTTTGTTCAGACAATCCTTTGCCTTCAGTTTCTGTCCAATATCTTAATATCACGGGATAGCGCGCTATCTTTGGTTGTACTGTAGTTCCATTGTCCAATTTCTCTCGGGGTTCGGTCTATCCAGCGGCCTTATTAGATCAAATTTCGTTGGACACCTTTTGAGTAGACTCGAATCGGATGAAGACTGCGTCAGGCCTCTGTGGATTAGGCGTAATCCTGCATGTTAGCAGAAATGTGTTTAGGACCTCTTGAATTTGTTCGTCTCTTTTAGCTTTGAGCAGAGCTCTCCTTTACATATTCAAAAATCTCTCAGCTTGTCTATTGGACTGTGAATGATAGGGAGGTGAGCGCACGTGCTTCCTGCCGTGGAATGCGCAAGATTCAGCAAACCGTCAGATATTAATGTTTCTTGGAAACCGAACCGACTGAAACTTCCTTGAGGATTGTGATCGTGAACGATGTTGAAATGTTCGAGATTTGCAAGATCTCGGGCCACTTGCAGTATGCGTCGATATCATCAAGTATCTCCGCACTTTGATTGCATCTGAAAAATCAAGATGAACCCTTCGCCATGGTTTGTTTGTCGTCGACCAGGAGAAAAATACCCATTTCCTCGGTGATTTCGCAGCTTGAGCACATTTTGAACATGAACGTGTTAATTACTCACTTTTGGAATTCATAAGCGTTCACTACGCATAACTCCTCGCTAGAGCCTTCATTCTTTTAGGGCAAGGATGTCCAGTTGCTGTGCATTTCTTTATCCCTCCCCATCCTTCTTAATCTCCCCCTCCAACCACCATCTCACTTAGCCTGATATGATTTCGCATAATATTTGTTTATTGCTACATGGTAGCCGGCTGGTAACTTTCCGGAACGACGCCCATGCGCTACTGGTAGCTCAGCTGGCATGCATCTGTTCCATGTTTTCCTTTTTTTCTTTTATGTATTGCGGCACAGTAGCCAACATGTATAATGATGAAGGATGGTGAGCGATGTCCAGTATAAAATTGATGTAGAACTTTGGATTGAAATTCGGCTGGTATGACAACGTGTTCATCAAACAGGATACAGTCTTGAACAACAGATATTGCGTTTCGTTTCTGGAACAATTGTTGCAGCTCCGCGTCTGAATTTTTCGAGGCCACTATGTATGTTAAAACGTGGCTACCTTTCACATCAATGGGCCCGTGAAGTGGCATCTCGAATCTGACTGAATTATCTTGGGAGCTGGCTCACATTATCTGAGAGCATACCGATGCAATAAATCCTCAGTTCCGTCAGTTTTTGCATTCACTCCTTATTCAATGAGTCATGTGTAGGCTCTGTGATTTTTATTGTGTACGTTATCTATCCATATGACCACGCTTCATTTCCACTTAGAACTACCAGCTCAACTCGTTCATCATTTGACTAAGCAATGTTTAATATGCTTAAGCAAAAATTCCGTTCGTCTTCTTGGCTTTTGTGTTTCGTTTAATTTAATGGAAATATCCAATTTTCCTATGTGTTCACACTTTACGGACACCCTGTTTGTATGCTTGACGCCATCCGGTTTCGGGTATGCCTGTTACTGCGGCCTCCACGGGGACAGTCACAGGACGCCTGCGTTTACAGTAGGACCATGGGTGGCTTGCACTGCACCAACCTCAGCTCCATCCGAAGGAATAAGACCAGGAGGCATGTGGATGGGAGCCACATTTCACTAACAGAGCGGACTCACACTCCTTCAAGCTGGACAACGGTAACATTCCAGTCAATCTAACTGGGGAACCATGCGTACAAGACGTGCACAAGGCAGTGGCTGAGCAGTAGCCCGCTGCACATTGAATGCAACCACTTTGAGTCTAGCGCAGCCCGGAGGATTGTGCACCCCTTCTCCCTTAACAAAGATTCATGGTCTTCTGGAGCCAGTAATCGCGGATTAAGCTGCTAAATAGTTAGGCACTTTGTCAACATTCACATCAAGTGCAGCCACACTAAGTGTAACAACCCCAGAAATGTAAGAAGCTCAACACACAGGTACATGCAAACACCAATCTCATCGGTGATGTAGCACATGTACTACATCATACGCATTTGTTAGTAAATGGAATTGAACCGGAAACTACGTACTCGTCTTCACTTAGACGTTGGCTCTGTATGGTGATGCTGGTGGCTTATCAAACCAGCTTTTCTGATGCACTCGCGACCGCATGTGCTACAGCATAATGCGCTCGACGTCGACAGGCTATCCATCATTGGTGCCTGTCGCTTCCGTACTCCGCGTCTCCTTTGCGCCTGCAGCAAGGGGCAACCTCCCACTTGACGCGCTGTCGACATTCCCTCCGATTCGCTGTCATCACTTCCCAACACCTGGAACCAACATTAGTTCATGATAAACTCACCTTGACCAGGTCCTGGTAACGTAACTTTGGTTTTCCGACGTCCTACTTCCCTGCACGAAGTTGCTTACAAAGCGGCTGTTTCAGTATGCTCGTCGAATCCATGCGTCTGAAATACCCCAGCCACCTCAGGTGCCGCAGCATAAGTATGCAGTTCACTGTATACGTGTGACTGCGGCGCGGCACACCCGTGTCTGCAACACTATCGCATCAAGCGATGCGCAAACACTGTTGTTGAAACCGCTCTAGATATCACACATCCCGCCGGTACATCGTCCACGTTTCACTGCCGTATTGAAGGACAGATAGCACTAAAAATCTGTTTACTAGCAGCTTCTTTCCAATGGTAAGCTAATGGTTGTTCCACACTTCTTCAGTTTGCCAAACGCTGCAGCCACCTTTGATAAGCGCACGCCAGTTCGATCATCAACTGGAGGTCGGTAGGCAGTGCGCTCCCACGGTGGCAGATTCTCGAGATGGTTTCCAAAACATCACCAATGTGGATTTGCGGCAGGCTCGCGGATTCCACTTCTGAAAACCTTGAAGAAGGCAAACAGTTTCCTTTGTGTCGATGGTGAGCCCGAATTTGGCCGCTGTCGTAGCGAGAAATTAAATGTGCTGCAATTCATCCGTGTTGTTTGCAAAAAGGCATAGACGTCAGCAAACAGCAACATACGGCTGATTGTCTCACCCACCAGGGTTCTCCCCTCGAAACGACGGATGTTCAGTAATCCACTAGTAATACGGTGCTCCGCATGCATGCCTTAATCCCAGCGAGAATCAAAAGCGCAGGACATCATTGCATGTAGGTACATATTAAGCAGGGCAGGGGCTAAGATGGCCGTGGTTCACACCGGAGACAACCGCAAAATCATCCGAGGCTTGTCTACACAGCTGCACTTTCGCCCGCATACCACGGGGCAGACATCCACTCAAATTTACAAACTTACTCGGACAACCAAACTTGCCCAACGCTAGCAACAATGCCTCGTGGTT